GGGGGGGGGGGAAGGGAGAGATTATGAGGTAATGCCTGGCTTCGATAGAACTTCTATCTTGCATACACACGGGTAGCTATCACAGCACCACGCAAGTAGTGGTGGCAGAACTAGCCGCTATTCGCACACTGCCAACAACTTCTCGACGTTTCCATCTTCATCAGACATCACCCATCATCTATCTCATCATCTCCCCTTTTCACTGTTTTGCAATCAACAGGTAGGTAGAGTTGCATCGTATCCTCAACCAAGGATCTCCATCTTGAGTGGAGCAACGTGCAGACCATATTTCCCCTACGGTCGAATCATTCATAATCCACCAACTCCCTCTTCCACTGCGAGCGACTCCTCGACGCATGCTTGGTAACGTGGTTCCGAACCTCATCCGCAAAATCGATTTGGTCGTGGTGATAATCGAGCGTCGTGGTAGTATTGATCGGATCGCTGAGCTCGGCCTGCATCAACAGGCCGAAAACGGTGTCGAGAAGAGCGGTCATGGTGATGTCCGAGGTCCAGTCACGGCCTAGGAGAGCGTGGCAGATGCGTCCGTGAGCGTTGATGTTGGGGTGCATGATGCGCGTGACAAAGCGGACTTCGGGGGCAAAAGTGGGGTAGTTCTCGGCTGCGTGCAGATACAGGAGGAATGTGCCGTTTTCGTACGCACTCCCTTCGGGTCCCATCATGACTACTTTCCAAAAGCTCATGTCGCTTTCTGATACGTAGACGTCGTACATGCGTTGACCACTGCTGACGAGCATGGACTTCATCTCGTTCATGAGCCTCGCGGTTCGCAAATGACTTCGAGAGGCATCCTGTGGCGCGATGGCTGGGCGACTGGAGGCTGCGGTGAGCTCAATGAAGTCGTCGTGAAGATTGGTATGTTCTCTGCGAGGAGGATAATTGTCGATGCCAAACGGCGTGATACGAGATGAGTGCTTGTAAGCCTTGAACCAATGTTGGAACGAGGCACGGTACGAGGGAGCACCAGTTGGCAGGATGGTGGCAGTGTCTGGGCGCTCTGTGAGTGATAGGAAAGGCTCCAACTCCACCATGGACAGAGCATTGACAAGAGATGTCGGCTTGAACCGATATCCGCCAGTAAGCTCCGAGAGAGTGCGGAGGCCCCGGCTGTTCTCATCGCCAATGTTGACGGAATCTACAATGGTCTTGTCCTGGCGAAAGTCGAAAGCAAGTGGCCCAGGTTTGTTGACCATAGACTTGGTGTCCTTCCCGTCGCTGATGACGATAATTCTCTTCTTGGCGCCTGGATACTTTTTGGCAGATTCGTTCAATTGATCCCTGCAGAGCGCGAGGGCATCCCACAGTGATGTGTCACCAGTAGCTTCCATCATGGCCGTCGAGCGACGGAAGTTCTCGACAACATGCGTCAAAGAAGTTTTGACAGTTGCAACGGAGTCAAACGTGACCAGGCCCATGTGCGTCTTGTAACCATATGCAATGGCACGATTGATATAAGCCTCGAACATCTGCTTCAGAACGTCAAGCCGAGTCATTTCAGAACCCTCTCTGTCACGGTTTGACTTCGAAGTGGGAGCACCTATCATGACCTTCAACACTAACGGCTGCGCAGTGCTGGAGACTGCGGCGTTGAACCCCTCTACGCCATGCTCAGCGCAGAGTGGCTCGTCTTCTAACTTACCATGGCAGTGACTTATGTTCAGGAAGTGAGCGAGGCTATCGGTGTGAGCGTGAAAATATCCGGTCATACGATTATCACCGCTGGAAGTGAGATCGCTCCAGACCTCAACGTCTCCCACCCCCTGGTGGCCGTTCACTCCCAGATTGTGTCGCCAATACTTCCAGATAATGGTTTCGAGTGTATTCGATGTTTGCCTTGGCACCCAAAAGGAAAATAGCAACTTGTATTCATGATACACCTTGATGAGAGCATGGTCCTGTGCGCTTCCGGCAGAAGCACTGTGTGCGGTCGTCTCGTCGGCGATCCGAACAGTGATTTGTTCGCCGTTGCGGATGCCTTTTGAGTTTGCCTGTGAGGAGTTCGGGGGCCACAAAGTCGTAGTGTTGTCCAAAGCAAGCTGGAACACCATGAAGCGTGCTCTCATGCCCCGAAAGGCGATTTGGTATAGGCCGAAGATCGTGGTCTGAGGGGTTATGTCGCGCTTGAACTTACCATCCTTGCTGAGAAAGGTGACGGTGATGCGCTTTGGGGCGGCCAGACGGATCTTCTTCTTGGCCGGCGACTGTGGCGTCTCCTGCAAATCGGTCGATTTGGTCCAGTTCGCAACAGCTGACGCGATATCGTCGTTTGAAGTGACGTTCGTATCTTGTAGTGGTAGGCCTGTCATTGGAGAGGATGTTCGGATCGCGAACCATTGCTCAATGGCTGCCCTGGAGTACGTGAACCCGTCTGATGCCTTCACAGCATCCTCCATCAATCCGCGTGAGATGGGGCACATGAAGGCGTCCGGGACATTGGTGATTGCTTCTGGGAGACTGGAAAGACGAGTTGGAGGAACTGCACCAGGTAGATCTCCACCTGCATTCCACTGCCAATCGGCGTTGACGTCAGACGAGGTCGTTGCTCGGTAGATCAGGAAGTCTTGAAGGGCCTCCTCGTGTGTTTTCAAGCCGGCCCAGTGAGTTTTCGTTCTCCTCAACGATGAATCGGCCTCGGCGACAGCTTGACGGGCATAGTAACTTCCGGCATTTTCACGATCGCTCTGCAGTTGCTCGTGCTTTGCAACAAGCTCATTGCCCACAAGCATACGCAACAGGGAAATGACATTTGATGCAAGACCGCGTTGATGGTCCAGATCATGACCCCGGGATACGATAGCCAGCATATCTCCAAAAGCCTCATGACTTCCCAGGAAATCCTTCATGTCGTCGAACGACACTATACCATAGAGCTCAACTTCTACGATAGCATCAGGTGTGAACTGTTCCTCGGATATGGGTGACTGCTCATGGACCTCTTTGAAGTCGCTCGACGACTGCATCGAAAAGCTCGTGTCCACGCAGAAGAAGAGTAATTCATCCGGGTCCTGCAGACGCCGAAGCACCGCGCCCCCATAAGAGTCGAAGATAATAGACCCGTTAGACTCATAGAGCTTGAGAATGGGGGCTATCAGCTGCTCAATGACGGTCGCATTCATGGTGCTCTCTCCATGCATCGGCTGGAATACGAGGTTGGACTCTCCTGGTGTGCCGCAAGCTTGCTGCCCAGTGTATACTGCCAGATGAGCCGCCCGGTCGAATGTAAGGCAAGGCGCGACTGCGGATGCCAACTGGGCTGGGCTGTGAACTGATAGCTGGTTGCGTGCAGCTACTTCTGCAAGATGGCTCAGCTGGGAAAGTTCGTTGGTGTCAATACCTGCCTCAATATCTCCAGTATCAGGATAGCGGTAGTCAAGCGCGAGTCGGCGCGTGTCAAAGATCGTAACGTCCCCCGAGACACCCCCAGCAAGCAACGTGTGCCGTCGAGTAGATGGCAGTATGTCCACCTCTGCGAGTCGAGGCTGCAAGTGGCTCGTGCATAGCACACCTCCCGGGTTGAACGCCTCAAAAAGAGAGCGCTCGAGGACTCCTGAGATTGTCTGAACAGGATCAATAACAGGCTCGGCCGTCTGGAAGTCTTTCATATCGATGGTCTTGAACGATGCCAGATACGGCAACTCGTCACCCTCGGCTACCGTCGACAAGGAAAGCTTGAGGGTCCGAGCCTTCTCTAGGATGAATCCAAACAGCAATCGAGCGCCTTCGAACACGCGATCTGTGTCGGTGCCGATGATGCCAATGGGCATAAGGATGCCGTGCAATGTCTCATACACCGCTTGTGCGACAGCTGCACTCTCGGATGGAGCTAGAGTCTTGCCATCAAAAAGCAGGTGCAGAGCCCGAGTACACGGCGGAAACCGTAGTATGAGGTCTGCAACATGTAGAACAGCATCCTTCATTCTCGCATCAGTAGTTTCGCTGGGCACTAGAGACGCGAAGACGCGTAGCGAAGAAAGGAACATGGCAGTGCCTCGTGCATTTTGAGGCACAGTGGGCTCCCAGTGCGGTCGAGCGCGAAAGATTACGCTCTGACCGATACCGTTACATGCCGATCCAGTGGTCGCTCTGTTGACAACGAAAATGTCCACGATGCCATCCAAAGCCAAATCGGTCAGTCCAGCATCTGAAAGTGTCGCACTCATGCTGAGTGCACTGATGGGCTGCTCTGCCGTATGTAAGTCGACCAAACGGTACCTGCGCTCATCACCGTCGTCTACTTCGACAGTGCGAGAATGAACCGGAACATGACGCTCTTTGGAGCATATGGCTACCGTTGGAAGCCTGGTGTATTGACCAGACTGCGATTCTCCACTGTGGCGAAAAATCTTCCTATCGGCGAAGACGCTGAGGCCCAGCTCAGACTGAATAGCTACGTCTACTGCAGTTTCGGAAGGCTCATTGAGGACGATGCGCTTCACGATGCTCTTGCCATGAACGAGAAAAAAATCCTTGGTCGAGCTCGGTCCCTCAGCTATCTGCTTGGCAAGGTTGCAGTTACACTCGTTGTTCACTTTGTCAGCTTCGAAGACGGCAGGTAAGTTCGTATGTTTGGCGGCGAGTTCATGCAGCTGCTTAATGGTAGCAGAAAGAGAAATTGTAACGGGCGGAACGGAAACTTTGTCCCTCTTCGCGAGGGCAGCTGTGACAAAGCGCACAGCCAGAACATCCTCCTTACCGCCGAGACTGCTAGTCGCCAGTTGCTGGCGAATGTGCTCGGTCTCCAGTGGTCGTGTCTGCTTCTCCGCGAAAACGGCAAAAATGGTGTCAGCCCGAGGATTGGTGACTGTGTCTGAAAGCACATCTTCGAAGTCGATGATTGCACCTGTTGGACTGTCCAGGTGCAGAGTGGCAATATGCGAGGTGGCCGTCAACTTCAGACCTTGCTTGGCTATTCTTCTGAAAAGCTCGTCGACGAAGTCTGAAACGAGAGCGCTGGGATGGAAGGGCACTGCTAGGGAACAGTGCGCCTCAGGCGAGCATGAGTCGATGACAGTGACTGTGTATCGCTGCATCTTGACGGTCGCTCTGATGGGAGCAGTACGATGTGCCGTCGAGGATGCCCACGCTCCGTTGGTGTGGTGCCGCTGATGATGACCAGCGATGGTTGATGTTCGAGCGTTGGTGTGATGTGACAGTCATGGCGCAATTTATTCGACGTGAACACGCCTTTGGACGGAGGCAAACAGCCGATGTCTGAGACAGCTGCTCTTCGCGTTCTTTCCTCACCTCACTGCAGCTTCCCGCGGCTGCCAGTCACTCACATCGTGATTCACATTCACATTCGCTCGTGCTCGTCTCTTCATTTGTTGCGATTCCTCGTGGCGGACCGTCCGCGCATGTAGAAAGTGAGACAAGTGTTGCAGAGCGAGCGATGGCTAACAGAACAGTGAGGTTCTGTCACGATGGACCTGAATGTAGATGTAGTTCTTCTCTGCACGATGCTGCTCTTTTGACCATCACCGCAAGGTCAAGTCGGGATACGATGAAGCCGGCCAAAGTGCCGACGACGCCCCCAGGTCCAGCATGCTCGTTTCTAGTGCGGAAGGCGAACATAGCAGACACATTGGAAGTCCTCTGTACAATGTCTCTCAATTTGATCTGGACAACAGGTCCTCTGGGCAAGACAGAAGCGCCAGCCCTTCGATGAGGGCGCATGAGGCGGTGGCAGCCTGAGGAGGCAGGATTCACTTGACACGGATGCGTTCGCCCGTTCGCGGTGCTGCACCTGGGGACACGATCTGCGGCCGAACTGTGCATCATCAGCAATGACGGCGATCAGGTATTGCAGTGCCTGCGTATGTACCTCCTACAGTAGGGACGTCATATCGAAGACCTACGATGCTGAGACCCAACGCTCATAATACACAATCATACATCTGCAATCTGCATGACAAGGTGAAACATGACACCCGCCGTCGTCCACCCATCTCGTCCCGTCCATCTCGCAGCCTCGGCCCCCGCGCCATGCATGGCAAGCATCTGGAAGTCGGAAGCTTTGCCCACGTGTCCACGTGCAATGGGGGAAAACAACGCGCTGTACTCCCTCTCCGCCTGTCTCGGGCTCTGCGAAGTCTGCTTGCGGCCATAGGAGGTACCTGTACCTAGCAGGTTCCCATTACTCCGTCCGAGCTCACGCCATGCGTCGCACTGCCACAGCCACCCCGCGCGCATCCTCATCAACAAAGGATCAGCGGATCTCAGCACGGCAGAGGCAGAGGCAGAGGCAGGACGTCAAGCAGCAAACGGCCGTGGAGGTATCGTCAAGGGCACTTGAACTATGACAAGTCATCTACCGCAGAATCCAGATGCATATTATGAAGAATTCCAGTCAGAGGCTCCAAAAAAAGCCATTGCATTACTGAGGCCGGCCGCAGCAGTTAGCGGCGTGCGTGGCAAACGCTGTGGATCGAGCCTTGCTCCCGACATCATACCACGCCTTGACCGAGCGGCATTCTATGCTGTGTTCGGTCGGAAAACGGCGCCGGGGCCTGCTTCATAACTGCACAAGAAACGTCGGTCGCGGGTCAGAATCTGCTGTGGGAAGACCGCCATTGCGGGAGGGCCCCATATTGCTATTTTAACGCTCAGGTACCGCTAAAGAGAAGCTTGTGTGGCGCTTTTCGCCAGAAACGGCACAAGAGAACGTGCTGGTTGCGTAGCTAGAGAAGACCGCATGTAGCAAAATAGACGATGTGTGTCAAAGAATAGATTGGCGGACGTGTTCATGCTCCAATGAGAGAATAGGGGCACCAGCAGTAATGCGAGGCTGATACCCAGTATCATGTCAAAAGTTTGTGCTCTTGAAACGCGGGAGAGGTCTGAATAAATAGAGCGACATCATACTCAGCACAAAGCTGCATCGATCTCTCTCCTCTCCATCTGCAATTCACTCCACTCGCTCTTCCCTCTACCGCTCTCTCGACCCCTCTCTCTCCTCGTTGACACCAATACATCAATTGAGAGTCTCCAGTTCCGACCCTTCACACCCATATTGTTCCGTTCTCGAGCCACGCCGCGACCATGTGGTGAGTGTGGGCTGATTGTTTGTACACATGCGGGATACCTGAGGCTGACTGACAATGCTTGCAGCGGAATCTTTGGTTACATCAACTACCTGGTCGAGAAGGACCGCAAGTTTATTCTCGACACGCTCGTCAATGGTGAGCCGCGCATTTCCCTCTCCCATCCCTTTCTCCACCCTCCCCTCTCCTAGCACTCCTCTCTGTCGGGCGCAGAGTGTGGGCTAACAACAGCTGCGACCAGGCCTCGCACGACTCGAGTATAGAGGCTACGACTCCGCCGGTCTTGCCGTCGATGGCGACAAGCGTGGCGAGGTGTTTGCGTTCAAAGAGGTGGGCAAAGTCGCCAAACTGAAGGAGTTGATCGCTGCCGAGCAGCCAGACCTCACCAAGGTCTTTGACAACCACGCCGGAATTGCACACACCCGATGGGCCACTCACGGTCCCCCAAGCAGAGTCAACTGCCATCCACACCGATCAGACCCCAAATGGGAGTTTGCAATCGTGCACAATGGCATCATCACAAACTACAAGGAGCTCAAGACGCTCCTGGAAGGCAAGGGCTTCAGGTTCGAGACGGAGACGGACACAGAGGCTATCGCGAAGCTCGCAAAGTACATCTACGACCAGCACCCAAACATCGACTTCACTACTCTCTGTAAGGCAGTGATCAAGGAGCTCCAGGGTGCCTTTGGTCTGCTCATGAAGAGTGTGCGCTACCCCGGTGAGGTCGTGGCTGCCCGCAAGGGTTCGCCGCTTGTCGTCGGTGTCAAGACCCAGAAGAAGATGAAGGTTGACTTTGTCGATGTCGAGTTTGGCGACAGCGGTGAGGTGCTTCCAGCTGAGCAGGCGAGCCAGAACGTCGCTGTGAGGAAGAACCCAAGCATGCTCGGCGCCGGCCTGCTGGCACCACCGGACAAATCACTCCTCCACCGCTCGCAATCACGCGCCTTCCTCTCAGACGACGGCGTGCCACAGCCCACTGAGTTCTTCCTCTCCTCCGACCCAGCCGCCATCGTCGAACACACCAAGAAGGTCCTGTACCTGGAAGACGACGACATTGCTCACATCCACGAGGGCCAGCTCAACATTCACCGCCTGTCGAAGACTGACGGCACTAGCAACGTTCGTGCTATTCAGACGCTCGAGATCGAACTCCAGGAGATCATGAAGGGCCGATTCGACCACTTCATGCAGAAGGAAATTTTCGAGCAGCCCGAGTCGGTGGTCAATGCCATGCGCGGTCGCTTGAACGTGGAAGAGAAGACAGTTACACTCGGAGGACTGAAGCAGTACCTCACTACAATCCGTCGCTGCAGACGTCTCATATTCATCGCTTGCGGTACCTCCTACCACTCGTGCATGGCTGTCCGCGGAGCTTTTGAGGAACTCACTGAGATCCCCATCTCAGTCGAGTTGGCCTCTGACTTCCTCGACCGACAAGCGCCAGTCTTCCGCGACGATACTTGCGTGTTCGTATCGCAATCCGGTGAGACTGCAGACTCGCTCATGGCTCTTCGTTACTGCCTCGAGCGTGGCGCTCTCACTGTCGGCATTGTGAACACCGTTGGATCTAGCATCTCCCTCATGACACACTGCGGTGTCCACATTAACGCTGGACCAGAGATCGGTGTCGCTTCGACCAAGGCCTACACGTCTCAGTTCGTGTGCATGATCATGTTTGCTCTGCTGCTGTCCGAGGACCGCGCAAGCAAGCACCAGAGGAGAATGGAGATCATCGATGGTCTTAGCAAAGTGTCAGACCAGTTCAAGGAGATCCTGAAGATGGATCAGCAGATCAAGGAACTGTGTCTGAAGTTCAAGGATCAGAAGTCTATGCTTCTATTGGGTCGTGGTGCTCAGCACGCTACCGCGCTCGAGGGTAAGAGACCGATGCAATCCCATGTTGTGTCCTCATGCTGACTGCCACATCAGGTGCACTCAAGATCAAGGAGATCTCGTACCTCCACTGCGAGGCTGTCATGTCGGGAGAGCTGAAGCACGGCGTCCTCGCACTTGTCGACGAGAACCTCCCCATTGTCATGATTCTCACCCGCGATCCGATCTTCGCAAAGTCCCTGAATGCCTACCAGCAAGTCATCGCCCGCAAGGGACGACCAATTGTCATTTGCAATACCGACGACAAGGAATTCCCAGGCGAGAAGACCGACAAGATTGAAGTCCCTCACACAATCGACGTGCTGCAAGGCCTGCTCAATGTCGTGCCACTACAACTCATGTCATACTGGCTGGCTGTAGCGGAGGGCGTGAACGTGGATTTCCCACGTAATTTGGCCAAGTCGGTAACCGTTGAGTAAACAACACGCTTCAGTGAAAGGTGCACTCGATGGAAAACAAGACAGATTATAGCGGGCGTTGATTGGAAAATGGATACCTCTTCGTAGGGCTCAGCTGGCTCTGTGCGTCTGAAGAGAGATCTGAAGAAGGAGAGAGAGAGATTGTGCATGATTAATTGAAGTGAGGCAGCAAAGATACGACAGTATTAGAGACGTGAATGTGATCAACAGACCGACCGTTACCAACCTACGTGATGATGATTTGAAGTGATTTTGAAGTGAAGCTCCATTATCGCAAGTCGCATCGTCGGCCTACTTGCGTGCTCTCAGCGTCCCCAAGAATTTTCTCATATTCACTTAGACAAGTGAGAGACTGAGACTAGTCCTGAAGAGTTGAGTGAGCTGCATCGTCGCTTTGCTGCGGTATTCCCGTCATGAATTGCCTTCGAACTCCGATAAAGGTGCCGGCGTACATTTAGAGTTAGAGGCATTCTCGCACATCCCTGCAATTTTTGTGGCATTGGCATACAGAAGAAAGTGACGCATAAAAGCAGCAGCAGCACGTAAGCTCTCTACTACATTACATTGTTCACAACAAACAATACACATTCGACATTTTCGGAAAGATGTCTGGCACGATTTTGCATGTCCGCGCGGAGACGAAGCCGCTGGAGCATCGCTCCGCAGTCACGCCAACCATTGCCAAGAAGCTCGTTGAAGCTGGTTACACTGTCAATGTCGAGCGCTCTCCCTTGAGCATTTTTCCCGACGAGGAATATGAGGGCACTGGCGCCAAACTCGTACCTACTGGCTCCTGGATGGAGGCGCCCCAGGAGCATATTATCATTGGGTTGAAGGAGCTGCCGGAAGAGGACTTTCCTTTGAAGCATACGGTATATTTGGCAGATATCGACGTAGATTGCATTGCTGACACGTGATAGCACGTTCAATTCGCCCACTGCTACAAGGGACAAGGTGGATGGGACAAGGTGCTCAGCAGATTCCCAAAGGGCAAGGGAACATTGCTTGATCTAGAGTTCCTGGAGGATGAGAATGGAAGACGGGTTGCGGCCTTTGGCTACGTATGTCTTCCGCTGTACTCCAGCTTCCGCTTCGACACTGATCATTTCTAGCATGCTGGATTCGCTGGCGCAGCTCTCGCTCTCATGACGTGGGCACACCAACTCGTGCATGGCAAAGACTCACCTCTACCAGGTGTCACTCCATACGAGAACGAAGGCCTTCTCATCGCCGACGTGAAGAAGCACATTGAAGCTGGCAAAGCCAAGGCTGGTCGTCTGCCGCGAGTGCTCGTTATTGGCGCACTCGGCCGCTGTGGACGTGGTGCAGTCGACCTCGCCGTCAAAGCCGGTGTCGAAGATATCATCAAGTGGGATATCGACGAGACCAAGGCAAAGCCAGGACCATACCAGGAGATCATTGAGTCCGATGTGTTTGTCAACTGCATATACCTGTCGGCCAAGATCCCACCTTTCATTGACCAGGCGTCACTCGCTTCGCCGAACCGCAAGCTGAGTGTCGTCTGCGATGTGTCTTGCGATACTACCAACCCTAACAACCCCATCCCGATCTACGACATCAACACGACCTTCGATCAACCCACAGTACCGGTCAAGCTGTCCGCCGAGGCGAATGACTTCCCGCTCAGCGTGATCAGCATCGACCATCTTCCGTCGCTGCTGCCACGCGAAGCTTCGGAGTCTTTCAGCTCAGCTCTCCTACCCAGCTTGCTTGAATTGAAGGACTGGCAGAACGCGCGCGTCTGGAAGCAAGCCAATCAGCTGTACATGGACAAGGTTGCAACATTACCGGAAGGCGCCATCTAGAGCATAGATTGGTGGTAGAAAGATATCCTGCTCCTCTCGCTGCGTCCGTAGGTATGATATGGCTGTGCTACATTCTCGAAGACGTGAGGGCGTCGGTGACAGCATAAACGACCCGGAGTTTTGCGTCAGTAGTGTGTGCAATGCTACTGTGAAAAAGATTGGCAAGCTATAGATAGTCATGGCTCACACAGCTCATAGGTATAGCACCAACGAGCTCGTTCATGCGTCACAAGAATTCGCCATGTCTCACTCCGCCATCCCTATTTCCTCGGCGGCCGCATTAGATCGGTAGACAACCGCTAGCTTGTCCCACGCACGTAGCTAATCGCCGCAGCATGGAGTGATGATAGCAGTGTCAACTCCGTCACGCCACCCGTTACTGGTGCAACAGAGGCAGCGGATGCACGAAAATATGCAGAGAACAATTCTTTCCAATCACAGAGCGCACCTTCTGCAGATAAAATCGTACGCGACAACTTCACATTCTGCATATCGCAAAGCCTCGGATTCCCCATTCGTAGTTGCACCATCCATTTCGTTTCGGGATCCACTCCTTCCTCTGCGATGCGTTTCCACTTCTCCAACGCTCGTCCATGATACGGCTCGGGGTGGATTTCGAACTTGTCAAAGAGGGCGTACTGCGGCCTGGACTGGTCGAGGGCATTGTAGGACAGAAATACTCGGGTTCGCACATCGTACCTAGGTATGTAGTAGGTTCTCAGCATCGTAGGATATGGAAAAAAAAAGGTTTGAAGCACCGGGTATCATCATACCAACGCGAACCCCCGAGATTATAGCTGATGCTGATTTGGAAAAAGGGCAAGATGGAGAGTTGCAGATGTGATTCGATGATGCGGTTGAAGGTCTTGGAAGCGAGGCGTGTTGATAGCCACAGGTCCGCTGGGTCAATATATGAGAAGATGTGGACATATATCTCTTCTGGGAGAGCTGGAGTCACCGTTCTTGACATTTGAATGATTACAGGCTTGTTCCTAGTTTGATAGAGACGGATGTGATATAGTAGAGTAATAGACCGACCGAGTTATTCCAGGTTGTCTCTTGTGTTGATGGTAACCAAGCATACTGGAGCTCCCTACTACCTAGAGGTCGGGGTCGGTCACACGTCGGCAATATACTTCTGTTCGCTCCGAGCTTCAAGCTTGAGCTTCTTCCCTTTCTACGACCAGCAAGTGAAGTGCCGTAAAGTAACACAGCACGCGATGCGATCCCATATCAATGCCTTCTCGCCGCGATTGACACCGATACAATCTCTCATCTCGCGAAGATGGCGTGCGCAATGGATTTGCCGACACCGCATAGCTGCACAACAACCCTGGCTCCGGACTCTGGCGACCACGAACGCGCCTGGCGGACCAGATGAGAAGCCGTTCTATGTGACGACTCCCATCTTCTACGTCAATGCCGCGCCTCATATCGGCCACATGTACACCATGGTGTTGGCGGATGTGCTTAAACGATGGCAAGTTCTGAAGGGCAGAAAAGCAATATTGCTCACCGGCACGGACGAGCATGGGATGAAGGTTCAGCGCGCAGCGCAAAAAGCAGGAATAGAGCCTCAAGATTTTGTGGATCAGGGCGCGGAGGTGTTCAAGAGTCTTGCTGAGCGGGCGGGCATCAGTAATGACATCTTCATCAGGACCACAGACAAGCATCACAAAGAAGGGGTGGAATATGCCTGGCAGATGCTGGAAGAGCGAGGGCACATCTATGAGAGGAAGCATGAAGGCTGGTATAGCGTATCGGATGAGACTTTCTATCCTCAGAATCAGGTTCAAATGATTGTGGAGCCAGCGACTGGACGCAAGATCATGGCGAGTATCGAGACGGGCAAAGAGGTGGAATGGACCAACGAGCCGAATTATCATTTTCGACTGAGCGACTTTCAAGGGAAATTGTTGAAGTTTTACGAGGAAAACCCCGATTATATCGATCCACCATCGAGGATGAACGAGGTCGTGGCACAGGTCCGAGCCGGACTCGAAGATCTTTCCATCTCTCGTCCCGCGGAAAGACTGTCGTGGGGTGTCCCAGTACCTACAGATGATACGCAAACCATCTACGTATGGCTCGATGCTCTTCTGAACTACGCAACAGCCGCCGGCTACCCCTTCACACCCGGGCAGGAGACGGCGTGTGGCTTTCCACCTGATGTTCAAGTCGTTGGAAAGGATATTGTGCGCTTCCATTGTATCTACTGGCCCGCATTCTTGATGGCGCTCGATCTGCCCATTCCCAAGCGAGTTCTTACGCACGCGCACTGGACTCTCGGTAAGCACAAGATGGCCAAGAGTAGCGGGAATGGTGTCGATCCGTTCTTTGCACTGGAAAGATTTGGAGCGGACGGTCTGCGTTACTACTTGGTTCAGGACGGCGGCATCGAGGACGACGCGGGCTACGACAACAGCTTCGTCATTGGAAAGTACCGGAAGGGACTCCAGAATGGCCTTGGAAATCTGCTCTCACGTGTAACGCTAAACGAGAGGTGGAACATCGAACGTGCAGTGAAGCGATATGCACGTCCCGACCAACCTGGCCCAGTCTCAGGCCTAGATGGTGGCGATGAAGGGCTGAGCAACTTCTGTGACATGTTGAGAACGCAGCCCAGCCGTGTGGACGAACAAATGAACCTACTTCGACCCAACAAAGCTTTGAAAAGCATCATGCGAATCATCTTCGAATCCAATGCAATGTTAAATTCACTGTCACCTTGGACGGTGGTCACACAGATACAATCAGCGATGGCGGATACCACCGGGCAAGAACTGGACGAGTTGCGACAAGCCGGAAGATCCATCGAAGCGTTGGAAGAGGAGATTGATAGGAGCATTTACCTGGCAGTCGAAGCTCTGCGACTGGTGGGCATCATGCTCCAGCCTTTCATGCCCACAGCTGCGAAACGTCAGCTGGACATGCTGGGTGTCGCTGAAGATCGCAGAAGCTGGGAATGGTGTCAACTAGGGAAAGATGACAGCTTCGGCGTCCCAGTGCTCAGGGTTGTAAAGGGAGACGAGGGCAGGTTGTTTCCACCATTGACAAGCGCATATTAAAGCTGTGCTGTATTTACCTTGGTACAGGTAGTTTTGTATTCCCAAGACACGCTGTAGCAATCATGCTCCACTAATGTATGTGTAGCACGTGTCGGCCATGTACCTTGACCTTTTTCCCCCAGGTATAGAGCAGCAACAACAACAACGACAACGACAGAAATCAATTGACCTGGTACGCATCCGAAGTGTCGGGTATCCTTCCCACATAGCTGCTTTTCTGTCAGACATTCCTTACCTAGGTACTGAGGCCTAGGCCGCTTAGCCAAGATTTACTACCTACCCACCGACCATACTCTTTGCTGGCCCAAGCAGCTGCTGTCCTGTACAGTCTCAAAATTAGGTAAGCACCTCTAGATGAAACACTTTCGCATTGCCTCTATTGAGTAACTTGCCCAAAACCAACAACCCAACATACAGGTACCCGACATACCCAACAACACATTACCGCCATCCTGACCCATCTCACCATACCGCCGAACTCCATCGTGGTTCACATGATTCCATGTCTCTCGGAAAGTCTGCAACCAAACCAACAGCCCACATGGGCGGGCGCAGGGGGCCTCATATATCTTGCCTTGTTCTTTTTTCTTCATGATCAATAATAATAGTAAGCATTGGGTAGGTAGGTGAACCGTGACCAGACGTAAGATCGATATTTCCCCCGACCTTCCATAGAAGAGATCGATTTTTTTCCCCTGCACGTAAGATAAAATGTATGTCGAGTGGAGAGCAGTCCGTATTCTTGTATGCATAAATATTTTAGGTTTGTAGACCGTAATTCCCTCTGTCAGCAATAGCCTCGTTGGGAAGGGGAGGTTCTACATAGAATTTGCATCGGGAGTCTAGTAACACGAAGGACATACAGTACACTGACTACCTACCTACCTAGTAGTCGAGAACACAGCAAGGAGGCAGCCCACGTTCGGGGGGTTGTCTCAGACTCTCAAAGGCTGTGCAGCTTTCGGGTCAGTCCGGGAGTCCGAGACTGATGGGACACCTGGGAGATGAGTGAGAGAATACCTGGTAGATGAGGTTTTTTGGTAAGTGGTTCTTTTGTGTTGCTGTTGTGCTATATAGTCGGCGCAGGATAGCTGCTACATTACTTCCTCACTACTACATACTGAACAGGACGTCTTACTTATACCACCACCACTACTACCAACAACAACACCAACAACAACAACTACAACAACCACAATGTCTTCGCCCATCATCACCTCCATCCTCACATTCTTTCTCATCGTCTCGCCTTCATTGAGCTTCACCCCTAAGCCACGATGCGGGAGCTGCGACGGTAGCGCCCAACTCTTCTCCTCCAACGATTGTAGCAACCCTATTCAGGGAACGTACCAGGAATGGGGAAACTCAGACGAATCCAATGCGCCACTCCCATGCACGACAATTTCTGGGTCCAACCCACTGAGCCTCAACAAGACAATGTCTGGAAATCGTTGCAGCCTTATTGTCTACTCGGACGAAGAATGCAAGCACTTTCTCGACGCGAGCTCCATCTCGTGGAGTGGATGCGCCAACATTAACGGGGGCGCGCAAAGTTGGGAGATTTTTTGCACCCCGAGAACGGAGCCGTTTTGTTGAGAGAAGAGGGGAGGGGAGGGGGAAGGACTATGGTGGAAGAAGAAGAGGAGGAGGAGGAGGAAGAGTAAGAAGGGTACCCTTCTTACTACCACACCCCAAAAAAAAAAGAAAATCACGATGAAGAAAAAAGAAAATTGTAAGTTTGCCTGAGAACTTATAGGGCTCGCTCGCTCGCTCGCCTCTTCATCAAAGCCAAGAGTATGGCATCGCATAGCAATAGGGTGGGGGGAAAAGAAAGCCTTTTTTTTTCCCTATATTTACCTCTCACCAGTGAATGATGAACATTTTCGAGTTAACAATCCCGCGAACAGAACACCCAAAAAAAGATCAACCCTCCCTCCCTCTCTTCTCTCTCGCCGTCCATCCATCCATCGATTCATCTTTACCATCGAAAAGAAGGCAAACCCCACACACACACCAAAAAAAAACGAAGATTAACGACCTACAAGAATTATGCGATGAAACCAAATTCCATCCCATCCCATTCTATTCTACGACGAACGAGAACGAGAAACGATCGATCCCTTACCCTGAATTTCAAGACGAAGAAGAAAATTCGAAAACAAAAAATCAATCAAGAAAAAAAAAAGATGGTTCTGCGAGTTCGACTTGTTTATATGTTGTACATATACATACATACATACATTGGTACCTACCTACTATACATACATGAGGTCATTCTGTCCATTATCTCTCTCTCTCTCAAAAGAAAACCCCTCCGAGTTCTTTTGTTTCTCCTCCCGATGAAAAGTCAGAGAGGAGAGGAAAAGTCAGAGAGGAAAAAAAAGGTAAGGGCAAAAAAAAAGAAGGAGAAGAAGAAAAAGGAAACCCGTTTCATATTGTACCTACCTATCCAGGGACGTTGGGGTTTTCTTTTTCTTTCTTTTTCTTTTCTCAAAAAGATGTACTGATACACAGGTACATATAGGTACTTACCTTATACTCTGCTGTAAGTCCTTTTTTTCGTATTGCCTATGTGGAGTTGATTGGGGCTATAACTGATTAGATATATACCTAGGGATTGTCGTACTCTGGTGTACGGTATTCCATATTTCTTCGGAAAGTCTGGATATGTATATGTTTGAAGTATGAAGTGTGAAGTGTAAAGTATAAAGAACAGAGCTACCTAGAGCCTAGAGCGTTGCAAGGTAGAGGTTGCAGGTACAGTACAGATATGTACTGTATGTACCTAAGGTAGCTAACAACAATAGCCTACAACAGCCTACAGGAAGAAGGATAGATTAAATACCTAAAGATCGATTTTCCGATCTTTGTCTCGATATCCCGTTTTGGACCCGATGTTGAATACAATGGAAAGTAACAAAACTCGCCAGAAGTTTCCTAGGGTACGATAGTACATGTTGTTCGGGGAAAGTAAGGACTAACTAGGTCAGGTAGGTCAGGTAGGTAGTTGAAATCTTTTTAGTTCTTACTTACCTCTTGTAAGAAGTTGATGAAAGGATGTTGGATGTTGGAGAATGAGGCTGCAGTAGTAGTGGTAATAGTGCTGTACCCAACTCCCCTTGGATCGTAATGAAGGCAGCGTCCACGCTGCCTTTTCGAGATTTAGTTGTGCTGAAGAAACTAGTCAAGGGGGGTCGGGGTTGCGAATCTGCGATAGAGTTGTCCAGTTGAGAGCGGAGTGCCCACTAATAATACAACCACTTGCACGTGTACCACGCAGTTCCTTGTTGGTATCGCCTGATGGGGAGGATGGCAACACGAAGTGACCAGTCCGATTGAGGAGAAGCATGTTGATCCACGTTCTCGGGAAGGGGGGAGAGGGTCACTTGGGTGTCGAGACTGTTCGACTGGGTAATTCCGGTACATACCAACAGACTGTGCGCGAGGATACTGAGTCTGTACCTGGTAGATACCTGGATGTCTGTTGGAGCTGTCTATCCAGGTCCACCTAGGTATACAGTATAATAGTCAGTCAGCATAGAGGTGTCGTGTCAATTCTCTTCTACAACAACAACAACATACCTGATCAATTGGACCATCATCTGTCCCAGCCCCCCAAAGACGAAACATGTCTCCACCTATCAGCATCACCACCTCCATCGTCCTGACATTCTTTCTCCTCCTCTCGCCTTCCTTAGCCGGGCCACCTCCACAATGCGGGGAGTGCTCAGGTCAAGCCAAACTCTTCTATGCCAATGATTGTCCGGCTGGACGCGCTTACGAGAAAAAGTCATGGCTCAATGACAACCACTATGGTGGAGGGTCCGGATGCTCCATTATCACAAAGGGCAATCCAATGAGCATCTTCAAAACGAACGCTGGATTTCGGTGCAGCGTCCTGGTATATTCGGACGACAAATGCACAGATGATTATCAAATCGACGCCATCTCCATCTCCAACACTGGATGCAAAAATATTGTATCAGGCGGAAGGAGCTGGCAAGTTCTCTGCACTGGGAGGCAGCCGCCGTACTGTTGAGAGATGGAGGGCGGGGTGGAAGGGTGGAAGAGAAAGAAGAGAAGAACAGTTACGAGATGACGGGTAAGCAGAAATACTCTTACTTTTTCGAATAGGAAAGAGGAGGCAACTCCGAGACACTAGCTATAAGGGGGAGTGAGTGAGTATCCAGGGACTAATAGGTAGACAGGCCTCTCTTTCTTTTGCCCTCCCTTCTCCTCTTTGCGACATGCACCAAAAACTTCTCCTCTCCCTCTCTCTCTCTCTCTCTCTCTCCCTCTCTCTCCCCCCGACATGCGCCAACAAAAAAAGAACGACGGCCTACGAGAATCCTACGACTGCGACGAAAACCAAATCCCACGACGAAACAGCTCCCTCTCCAATTGAAGAGAGAGAAAAAAAAAACATATTACAAACATCAAATATCAAGACTTCTTACACACGTCTTTTCATCAAACTCATTTTCTTTTTCTTCCTTCCTACTACGACTACTACAAGTCGGAATGAATCCTGATAATGTTAGGGTCAATGGAACATACTCACCTCTCCGTAACCTCCCCTACCTAGGTACCGACTACCCTTACTTACCAGTTACCTCTCCCGTCTACATCTACTCGCCGCCTCCTCCGCCCTTGATCCTTGAGGTAGGTAGTTTCTCTCCTAGCTAGCTAGCTAGCAGCGAAGAAGAAGAAGAAGAAGAAGAAGCAGACAAACCACCCCACCCCCCGCCCCTCCCCTCTCGACACAGCAGACTTTTGTAATAGAGATAACAACACAGAAGAAGAAATATACCTTAGCAAAAAACGACCCCGCGAACGATTTCATTCATTTCTTCATTCATTCATTCATCCATCCATTCTCATCAGGTTTTTGCCCCAAAACAAAGACAAAGACAAGACTAAGGCACTAAGCAGATAAACCCTTCAGACAGCCTCAGACAGGCGCTCTAAAGCCAAGCTTCAAGCCTTAAGCCTTAAGCCTCAAAAAAAGAAAAGAAAAAGAAAAGGGAATCTAAATTTAACTATGTTCCTTCCTTTCTTCCTGCTTACCTTAGCTACCTTACGTACCGCTCTTAAAATATACTACCTGGACCTAACTACCAACTAGAGGCATTCTTCAACGAGGTACCTTAAGGTACTACCTCCCGTGCAAAAACAAAAAACAAGAAAACAAAGTATCAAATAAGTATAAGTAACGAGCAAGATATAATCGAAAGGTCTTTCCCAATGTAGCGGCCAATCAAACCGCCCATTACGGGAGAGAAAGGCCGTTTGTAATTCGTCGTCTTTATGTTCCTTCTCCACTAGCTGGATGTGATGTTGAGAACTACCTAACTGACTGGAGATTCAAATATCTATTCCATCCCAAGCTCCATCGCAATGTGGTGGAGAGGACTAAAAATAATCCTCACTCATCCAAGGTAAGCATTACTCTGTTGGTAATGTCAAAAGATGCTGCAAAAAAATGTCTATTCCTACGTCAAACTCCGTTGACCCCTGTTGCTATGCTTGTGATGATGCTGTAATGCTAATGAGTCGTGAGACTATCCTCCTTTTATTGCGCCTTTCCCTGATGATGTTCAATCAATTAAGCATAAGGCTTGCTTAGAGAACCTCGGTGTGTCGTCTGCCAGCCAGATAGTTTATCGTCGTCGTCGTCCTCGTCGTCGTGGATGATAATGCTGCTGCTGCTGCTGATGATGATAATAATAATAAGTGGTGCCGCCACAAAGGAAGGCATGCGGCACAATAATCGGCATCTCAACCGATCTCGATGTAATGTGGGATCTTGGAGGCCTGATCTAGTCACCGGTGACCGTCAGGCAGCCCGTCGACCTTGGGTATAAGAAAGGGTCGAGAAGGCTCTCGAGTGATTTTCCAGCGGGCCAGCCGTCACTCTCAGCAGTATTGACTGACTGCTTAATGACGACTCTTCGGAGGGTCCCTGGGAGTTGGACCCCTTCGTGCACGCTCCCGCCGGCCACTTGGAGGATCACGGGGTTGCGGGTTCTTGGAACCACCAGAACCGCGAGCCGGTCGGCTTGAGGGTGCCATTGAGAAGAGACGGGTGCTGCAAGGAAGATCTTGTGGGGTCGAATCTGCAGTGAAGAATCCGTTAAGGATGTTTTGCTCGCCGCCTGCCATTGTGGACATCATTGCTAAGGTCGATGCTGATGATGTTGGTAATGTGGACTCCGTCGTGGTGATGGTAGGAAGGGGCGGTGTGCCGGGTTCTTGTTGGATGCTAATGCTCTTGGAGGCGGAGTGAAGTCTCTTAGGCGGGATGGTGGAGTTGGATTGTATTATGGTGTGCTGTTGGTGTTCTTGATGTTATGGTTCTTGCTGTTGGGGTTCTTGCTGATATGCTGCCTGCTGTTGTGGTTCTTGCTGTCTGTTGTTGGATGAGAAGAACAGATGACGAGCGGCATGGGTGAGAATATATGTGACAACGGACAAGCAAAAGACATCATCATCAGCAGCAGCAGCAGCAGCAGCAGTGGACACCAACCTCAGCAGTGCCTGCTCAGGCAGAAGGCTAGAGCGGCCTCAGTACGGAGCAGACGAGTGAGTCTATGCTCCGCCAACAACCACAACGGGCGGAGCGACGACTCATCGGCCTATACAAAGCCTTAGCGCCCTCGCTCTGGTGGACACGAACCATGGTAGCACACTGCAGTTGCCTCAGGTGAAGCGGATTGGTAGGTAGGAAGGGAAGCATGCGGTAGGTAGGCATCCAGGTGATCACAGAAGGGTGACGTTAGTCCGGACAAAAAGCAGCGTACGACGCTAACAGTCTACTTCTGGAGAGAGTGACTTGGGCTGTTGACTGTGTTTGGACACGGTCCGCAGCAAGAAGGAAGTGAAGTGACATGGGAGGGCGCAGGCAGCAACGGGGTTGGTGTGTGTGTCCTGAGGATTGAAGGCGGAGGTGCCTAAGAACAGATGGAATGGGAGGGAACGGCTCGTGCAGTCGGCGTCTGCCGTCCGCATCTGCTGCAGACGGCATTAGGTAGCTAGCAAGGCAGTGTGAAGGGATCGGAGTAGGAGGAGCGGGAGGATCTATGGAAGAGCGCACAGTCATCGTGCGTGCATGACTGGGGTGACTCCCAGGTGCGCGGCTACTACCTTGGGGACACGTAGGTAGGTGAATGGACACATCATGGTCTTGTCCCGATGCGCAGCAGAAACTAAGCCGATCCGAATGTAGGAGCAGGACGGGAAGGGCGAGGGCGAAGGTGCGGGTGAGGGTGAGTGAAGCAACGTCAAAAAGGATGAAAGTGCAGTGAGCGTAGGAGGTTCGGTAGCTAGCGTAGGAGGTAGTTGGCGGAGCCTCACCGGCACTCTGATCGCCCTCTGGCCCAAGCGTCATCAGTCTGTGTTCTTAGATACAGGTGCCTTCGGTATTCCTAGGCAGACACAACAGCGGGCATGACATGAACTCGGTACAGGTCCAAAGGTGGGTACCTGCGCCCAGCACGACCTGAATAACTTACAAAATACCTAGTAATAGACGTTAATAGGTAGGTTATGCATGCTGCTGAGGTAAGGTGTGTTCATGCAGTCACCATCGCCCGGTTCCTGCTGGTCCTGCATGTCCTGGAATAATCCCCATGCACTCGGCGACGACGACGATGTCTTTTTTCTTCTTCTTCCCACAGGAACAACTACCTACATACTTCCTTCCCTCCACGCACTCCTCAAGTGAAAAGGAACATACCTAAGGGATCCATAGAGGAGGCTGAAAACGAACCGAGGATCGAGGCGCAGACAGAGACCAGCCGAACGAACTCTTCCCCAATCCTTCCATATCAGCTCCACTATCCTCTCCACCCTCTCCACTGATGAAAGGAACCGGGCCCTGGAGGAGTAGTTGCATCCTTCAACACGGGAACTCCCTTACCTCCCCTGTCAGCATCTGGCTGCGAATAGCTACCTGACCTGACCTGACCTGACCTGACCGTAGCTACCGTATCTACGCTTCAGCCCTATATGCTTTGTCCTCCACCACGCTAGTGAGATCAGCGTCGTGGGATCGGCACTAATTAAGCCCTGCCTGCAGAACAACCTCCCCTACAGGTACCTACCTTGCTGTTTTATTTTCTCTCCTACGGAGGTACATACTCTCACTGCCTGCTCCCAAAGAGGAGCCGAACCACAGGTGCAGCTTCAAGTTTGTGATTTAATCTACGATGATGATGATTTCACGAAGCAACTAGGAGGTAATCTAATGTACGAATGGATGGATTCCTTGGCAGGCCTTGGGATGTTGTGTGCAGGTATTTTATCTTGGGAACGATGACTATGGAATGTCAACTTTTGTTTTTTTGCGGGCGTGAGAACTTCACTGCCTCCCCGCCTGAGTCACCCATTGCAATTGAGCTTTTACATCACCGGACGCGAGGCGCGTGCGTGTGTCAATCGAGTGTCTAGACCTCTTCCTCATCGCCTTCGTCATCATCTTCCTCGCCCTCCTCGCCCTCCTCCATATCCTCATCCTCATCCTCTTCTTCTTCTTCTTCGTCCTCTCCACCAGGGTCCGCGAGCCCGTAATCATCCTCAAAGAAAGACAGGTCCTTCACCTCAACTGCGAAGCCCGCACCAGAAAAGTTTTCCCGCATCGTCTCCTTCATTCCAGAGGCACACGTCACAACCAGATTCGCCTTCTTGGCATCGAAGAGAGGCAGCAACCACTTGTGGATCGACTCTCGCACCTGATCGATGCTGACGCCCTGAATCTTCTTCAACATATCCTTCGACCACGTTTTCGGCAAGCCACGCAGAATTTGACTCGCGAAGCTCTCGTCCGCCGCCGCTCCCATGTTTGGCGCTTCTTCTGCCATTTCATACACAATTTCACCTACTGCAGATTCGATTGCGAGTTTCTTTAGCTCCTTCGTGCCGGATGCGTAGCCTTCCAGCTCGGCTTTGCCTGCGACAAAGGCTTTGAAGCAATCTGGTGAGCGGTCGATGGAGAAGTAGATTTGGCCGAGCTCGGTGGTACGGCGTATCGAAGCTCCATATGCAAGACCGGTGCCGCGAATGGCGACCCAGAGGGGCCCTTCCACTGCGCGAAGGTAGGCAATGGCTACCATGAGCGCGGGAAGATCGGGGTCACTGTACGTGGATGGGCCCTGAGAGGTGAGGATGAGGTAGGAGCTATCGCTTGCGGGAATCGGCACAATGTATGCTGCCGAGCCAGGCTTCTTGCCCACCTCGGAAATCGTTGTCGACGACTCGTCAAGTGGTTCGAGAGGCTGTGATGTGTCAAGCCCTTGCGTGAGTTTGTTCCAGGCTGCCACTGGGTTGTTGAGCTTGCTGAGATTGGCCGCCACGTACACTCGGAAGTTCTCTGGCCTGTGCAGTGCTAAGCAGAGTTGCTCAAGTTTGGCAATCACCGCCTTCTCGTCGGTCTTGAGCAGCTTTCGAAGACGCTTGAGGTATAGCGTCTTGGTCAGCGCAGACGTGGCACGACGATTTGCAGAGCGATTTGAGTGGATCATGCTGTTCACTGCCCACGCCATCGCATTCCCATCGCGTTTCTCGCTCGGGAGATCTGCCAGCAGCTTGGTGAGGGATGCACGAAGTCGTACGGGGTCGTGGATAGCATCGAAGAAGACCGTTCGTATGCGAGAGATGGCTTGCTCGTATGTTTCGCCCTCGGTGACGAGGGAGAGGCCCAGCATCTGCTGTCTGCCGCTACTGCTGGTGTTCACCCAGTATGAGGTCGTCAATTTCTCGAGATCAGAGACAAGATCCTCAAACTCCACTCGTTTACCATCGATGGTCACAGGTGTCGTGAAGAAGTTGGTGATGTATAGGCTCATAATGGGTCGTAGCTCATCTGGTACTCTGGCTGTGCCATAGTAGAGCTTGACGCGCACGAAATTCGATGGAATGTCTTCGAAGTGAATGAAGGTAGAAGATCCGTCGTCCGCTTTGTCGATGATTGCTTGCGCTTCTGGGTCACCAGACCCCAGCTGCCGAGCTGCGCCAGACCAAGCTGTGCCCGTGCGGATGAAGTTGACAGAATCTACACTGGGCTGGCGAAACTGCTCCAGCATGGACTCCGGAATCGTCTTGCCATTCTCAGCCTTGGCCTTCTCCAGTCTTTCGGCGAGCTCTTTGAGTCCCGCTTCTCCCAGTTTTTCTTGTTGTGCTCGCACTCGTGCTTGTTCGTCATCAGCGAGCTGTTTCTGTAATTCGAACGACGGCACACCAAGCACGCACACATGGTGCGTATCGACAAAGTACTTCTTGAAGAAGTTTCGCCACTCCTCCTCCGACCACTTGGTCACTTCATCAAGTTCGCTCATGTCCTCGAGGTCTTTGAGAGCGCTACCATCTCTCGGGCTGAAGCAGTGATCTTCGATGAGAGGCTGCGTGAAGAACGTCTCAGAGTTCTCTGCCTGCTCCGTGATGCGTCTTCGTTCTCGCTTCAAGCAGTCGTGCAGGTAGTTCATGTCCAAAGGCTTGGCTGCAGTCTCCTTCAACACTTCGAGGAAACGTTGGTAGACTTCTTGTAAACGTGGCGTCTCGATCGAAGTCAAGTCAAACCAGATAACGACGTCTGGCCGTGTCTCGTACTCATAATAGACTGCACTGCACAGTTGTTCGCGCTCAACCAAAGTGTTCTCCAGAACACTGATCGAAGAACCTGCAAGGTAAGTTATGACCACAGAGAGAGCTGCGTTGGCTACCGCATCGTCGCATTTTGGTCCCAGATAGCCAACAGTGACTTCTCCCATCGACTCATCCTCCTCCGGAAACTTGATCGTGTCGACCTTTGTTTGCGCAAGCTTCGGCGTCGGTGTCGAATCGACCCAAGGTCGGCGGAATGGTGCGTCCAGCGTTGGCACATCGTCCACGATTGTTGTCTCAAAATCGTCAAGAATCTGCAAAAGTTCATCGTGATCAATCTCACCGGTGATGATGACGCGCAGATTCTTGGGCTGGTACATCTCCTTGTGGTACGCACGAATGCGATCCGCAGTCAACCGTCGTAGTTCTGGAGTCGTACCGCCTGTTTCCGAGCGGAAACCATTGCCCTCGGGATACATGAGTCGTCTTCGCTGCAATTCCATCAGATCGCCAGAAGTGTTCTCACGAGCTTGCATCTCGGAGTAGACGACACCAGCATCATGGCCAGTGCCATCAATGTGATGCACCTCTGTGTAGCACCCTGCATCGGTCAATGTAGGCACGATCAAGTGTTCCAAATAGACCGGCAAGATCTGTGCAAAGCCTTCCCAGCCGGCGGTGTTGAGCGAGTACGAGGTATAGTCTGTCGCTGTACCAGCATTTGTTGTCGAGAAAGCTCTGCTGGACAATCGGTCGAGCAGCCCAGTGTACTTGTACGACTTGGAGCCCATGAACACGAGATGCTCCAGGGTATGTGGCGAGCCGGAGTCATCGTTGATCTCTGTGGCGAGAGCGAATTCTCCCTCGACCTTCGGCCCAGCTCTGTCGACTACAGCGACACGCATACCAGTTCTGGTGGACTCATATTGAGTGATGCCAACAGGAGCGTAGTCAATCTTGAGCTTCTGTATCGTCCTGAAGCGCGGTTGAGGCTGCTTGGACGCCGGCATGATTGAGGTGGGTTGTGAAGAGTGGGCTGATATTGCGGTGTAATAGGTCAGGTAGGTAATACAGGTAGGTATGCTGCTCGTTTGCGGAGAGTGAGCCTCAACTCCTTCTGCACAACTTGCTACTAGGCACACGTGGTCTGCAGATGCCGCTGGAGTACTTGGACGATGGCAGAAGATGTTGGACACGTCACGCAAGCTTACCCTCTCCGTATCACTGTAAGGTAATGTATACTACGAGTAAGGTATCCTAGTGGTACCTCCACCAATCTGATGCCAAGACTCTCGTTTCTGACGCCTCGAAAAACTGCCTGGGTGCGCCGCCACATCATCTCACTCCTGTCCACGTCCACCTACACATTGCGAGACTGGGTCCAGCGTGTCCACCGCTGGGATGGGCATGCAATGGAGCGACGCACTCCCGGCAAAAAGAAAGGTCCACGATGCAGAGACCGACGCGTGAAGAAGATGGTCGAGGTGCACGAATGAATATGGTGGCGTTTCTGTATACTGCTTCGGTCGGAATCGCGGCGTTCCAATGATTGCTCAAGCTCATCACAGGGTGCTCGAGCCACCTCTACGTCTACGTCCGATATAGAGGTACCGCGAACTTTGGGTCGATGCGCCGCTGTTCCCTCGCTCCCTCCATCTCGACTCCTCTTCTTGCTTGCTGCTTGCTTGCTGTGTCTCCCACTCCGCGCATACCTTACCTGCCTGCCCCCGACCAACCATCTACCGCTTATGATCGAGCTGCACACACTGCAGCGCGTCGCGTGAGATGGACTGATCCACGGCGGAAGCGACCTTATCTGCCTTTGCGGGCTTACAGTACCTGTGTCACACCTGAAACCACCGCCCGGCATGGATCTGTCTAGCATCATGCAACCCGCTGAGCCTGCCAGGTCTCCTGCTCCAGCGCCAGCAGTGCCCATAGCAGCAGCAGCAGCAGCTCCGCCATCACAACCTCCGCTCCCACCTCCGCCTTCGGTCGACATTACACCCGCGCCCAGTCCGATGCCGCCCAAGCGCAAGGCTGACCAGCTGGACGAGGACGAGAGCGTTGCAACCCCCCGAGACAACAGTATACACAATGGCGACAACGACCGAGACGAGCCCATGTACACATCGACCACTACATCCGTGCGCCACAACAAGAGCGGTGCTACGAGTTCCGTGTACAGCGGGAACAAGATCAGGCATTTGAAGAAGGAAGATGGCATTCCGCTATGGCGCAAGGACATACAATATGATTTCCTCAAGATCGTCTTCGATGATACCACCAAGTGCTTCACCAAGTACAGCGATGGTACCCATGGACACACTTTTGCCGACATCTACATCGACGCTATGGCCAAGAGCAGCAAGTGCAGCAAGATCCTCAAAGAGAAGCTGCTCCAGGACCAGGCGGGGGCAATTAGCATGGCGATGGTGTGCTTGTTGGTCAATGTAGGGAGAATGAATACTACTTTGAATTGTAGGTCAGGGGCGCAGCTCGTGTGCTGATGGGACTGGTGCTGACACTCATCCGATAGTCTTTCCTGAAATGCGCGCACAGCTGCGAACATACCACTCCATTCCTGCCCTGCAAGCCGACCAGGACCCAAATGCGTACAAACAGCTTCAAGACGCGCCGCGACTGAAATCCATTCTCAAAGGAGCCACCGAGGACGAGCCACAGCCCAGCACGATGGAGGAGATCAAAGCTGCCTCGATGCCGCGCACGAATCCCGTCAACCTCATCTTCGTCATGAGCCAGTACGCGCCCAAGATAAGCGAGGTCCATTTTCCTCCGCCGCGAGACTTCTTCGATCTGGTGATGCGGCCCACGTTGAGTAGCGAGAGCAGAGCTAAGGCGTTCCTGTGGCTGATCTGGTGGTATTTGGAGAGTGACTTCAGCATCGAGGCAACGCAGAATAACCCATTCGGTGCCGGCGTGTATGGCGAAGGGGAGGAGGGCACTGATGTGCTGCCGCTCAAGGTCCCGACACTGGAGGCCTTGACCGACGAGCAGGCAGAGTTGGAGAACGTGGACACGGAAAGCGAGAAACACTTTGGCGAAGTCAAACGGAAGGAGCGAATCGCCATTCTGGCGAGCGAGCCGAGTCCGGCCATGACCGCTCTAAAACGGGCTCGCAAAGAGAAAGGGCTGACAACCGGCCACAATCCCGCTCCTAGTGACGACGAGGGTTCTGAGACGGGCTACCACCGCATGGCGGGACGTGAGTGACTCTTTCCTTTCCCTCTTCTACTTCCTTCCCTCTTATATTTCCCTCTTATATTTCCCTCTTATGTTTCCCTTCTCTCTATTGCCCACCTCTCCATCCACCACATGGATGCCGCGCTAACACCAACACAGCAACATCCGTCGGCCGATCCGCGCTGCACCACGAAACTGCAAGCGACTACACGCGATCGCCGTCCCCTGCGGCACGCGGCTTCCAGGCAGTCAACGCGAAACCTCTCGCCAGTGGCATGGGCATCAACACCCTCCTCAACAGTGATGATGCCGCTCCCGAGAACTCACCCTCTCGTCCTGTTCCCGCCGCCGCTCCTGCTAAGAAAGGGCCCGGTCGAGGCAACTGGAGAAGGAACAAAGCAGGCAAGGAGGCAACTGCGACAGCTGCGGGTGCGGCGCCATCTCAGCCTGTGCCACTACTACCTAACACCGGAACTCAGATGCAATTCGTCAACAATGGGCCCAATGGTCCCGTTCAGTCGCACGGGGGCTCCTTCGCCTTCGGGAACACCAACAAACTCGCTGCTGCAACTGGCATCTCCCCTGGCGGTCAGCAGCTGTCTTTCCAGAGTCCAGCAACACACATCCCGACGCCCTCATATCAAGCGCAGAAGCGACACAGAGGTATCACACAGCATCAATCGGCGGTCATCAACCACCGCAAGATGCAAATTGACTACACCTTGGATCGACGGATAAGGAAATCCCACGAGGAAGCGCGAGATAGGCGGGAATCCGAGAGCCCCATCATTCGTGCTTGGAAGCGCCTGAAGTACATGCCTGCGGACTACGATTCAGAGGAAGAGCTGGGCAAGATCCGCAAGGCCAAAGATCGAGCGGAAAAGAACGACGATTGGCATCGGGGCGCTACTGTGGAAGATCCATTCGACAATGTGGACCTCTGGCGCCGCCCAAGAGTGCTATACGCCGGATATGTGAAGATGCCCCAGGAGCCTGGCGATGTTGGCGAGGAGTCCAAAAGCTTGGCGCAGAGCTTTCGAAGAGCCAGTAGGAGACTCGACCGCTGGCAAGACAATCTCCCGGGACAGGCTATGGCCCGAAGACTGGAGCGCGAACAGGAGCGCGAGAGGGGACACCCACCGGCAGCCCGAAGTCGAAAGAGTAGTACCGCAGGCAATGGCGTGGAGCCAGTGGAAGAGAATGGAGTGCGCCCACACAAACCTGCGATCAAGCGAGAGAAGACTGAACCGAAACGGAGGCCGAGTGCGAAGAAGGCGACGAGTGGCCGTGGCCAGCAAATGGATGTCGATCCTGAGCCTGATGACGAGGACGGAGGAGCAGAACTGGACGAGGAGGACAGAGATCTACTCGCCGAGGTCGATGCTGACGAGGACGGAAGTGAAGAGGAAGACGAGGATATGGAGGAATAACCAAAAGTTTGCACATTCTTAAAAGTGCCTGCAACCGTTAGCACAGCTGAAGCGGATTGATAAGAGGCATAGGTTTACGACTTGAGTGCTGGCGGAGAACATAGTATACCCGCACGACTGAGAGTACATGTATCCTGTTCTTTTTGTAGCAGACTAGGTTTCTGCAAATTTATGAGCCTTTACCAGATCAGCCAATCGTGCCTGTCGCCATCCTGCTGTATGACAACAGTCATTGCATTCTTGATCACGCTTGCCCATGCCCTGTGGTGTGCGCTGGTAGCGACAGCAATGGGGGGGGGGGTTTCTGCTCAACTACCATGTATACATCGCATCGTATGACACGGATATTATCAACGTTCTACTGAGTGAGGCTACCAGTGAGGGAGGGAAAGTATATGTATAATAATCAGAGAATGGACTGGAATGGAATGAAATAGGTTTGTAGAAATCTGGTTATACTTTTACTTACGTTTTGTCCTTTTTTATGATCATAATACATATATGTATGTTTTTGTATAACTGAGTGATGTTCATCATAGGTAGGTAGGCAAGGCAGGTGTGATATGGGCTCATTCTCAAGCTTTTTTCCTCCTCACCTGTATTTGCTGACTTACTTACCTGTACTTACCTCCCGCTCTCTCGCTCGCAGTACCGATTCATCAGTCCATCATCCAGCCAGCCAGCCAGCAGCAAGCTTTGAAAAAATTCCTTGCTCTACCCAAAGGTTAATGTACCTTACAGTTATATTATATCAACAAACCCATTCCACACCCGACCGCAAAAATCTCCCTGCCAAAGGATCGGGTAAGCCCATATGAGCATCTCGACCGGCCAAACGTAAAGTAAAACAAATCGTTTCTTTGGAAACTACGACTCCGGTTTTGGCCCAGCGGCCATTGAGCCAGTCTGCCAAGGCGTCTGAGGAGCCTTGCCAGCTGGAGACGTGGTCGTCCCAGCTTTGGAGCACGACGGACGCTACTGGGGCGGGGAGGGGTTCGAAGGTGATTTTTGAAGAGGAGGAGGAGGATGAGGAGGATGTTGTTGTTGTTGGTCTTGGTCTAGAGAAGGAGTGGAAAAAGGCGTGGGGTTTGGTGAACATGATTTCTTTTTTTCTTGTTCTTTCCTTTCCTGCTGGTCTGAGTTGGAATGGCTTGCCAAAGGGGTGAATTCCTTTTTCCAGAAAAGTCTAGTCGTCAGAAAGGAAGAAGTGTAATGAATGTGATGAGTGAAAGTGTACAGTTCGACCGGCAAACTGGAAACTTCTCCTTTTCTGATGATGCTGGATAGGAAAGAGTGGTGAGAATTTCCAGACCAGACTCTGAGACTAGGTCTAGAAAGCTGGTCCGAGAAAGAATCTTCAAAATGGCGTGAATGAAGGGGTATATATGTGAATGTAGGTCGGTGGGGAAGAGACGATTGACAAAGGCTTTGTGGAAGAAAAGGGTGGAGGATGGGAATAGATGTTGTGGGACAAAGGAATCGTGGGTTGTGCTTCTTTGTCTTTGTTGCTCTATTCATTGTTCGATCTTCTTTTCGACGACGCGGTGACATCGATGCGAGTGAGATTGCAGCTTCTTGAATGCAGTCATATTGACCATCTGCTAAATAAAGGGTTGGATATTAGCACGAACCAGCTTTCAATGATAGCACACATCCCTCAAAAGAGAGCATCATCATCGTTCCTCTCGTCACCACAATGCCTCCTCATCCCTCAACAAAGAAGCCAAATCAAGACTTGACGCCTATGACACTGGAGAAAAAGGTGTGGTGGTGAAGATAGACAGTGCTTCGTGGGGTCGTGAGTATCCATCTCGAGCCAGCTGTAGTCGTGACTGGTCTCTGTGTGGTCTGACTTTTTCCATTCTATTCTAAGCAGGACCGGAGCTGCTGCCATCAGAGAGTTAGTGTCGAGGTACAAGCCTGACTGATTCTCTCCACTCCCTGCGTTCCTCTGACAGGTCTGTGCGTCTTCTGGCTAGCGACTGCGTGCAAGCGCAATACTCATCATATCGCCGCTTATAATCGTACACCTCGACTACACTGCACCTCACGGCACTTTCTCTGCCTCTTCCAGCAATTCTTCCACATTGAAGGTCTCATCGCCACCACTAAACTGCTCCATGAGCTTGCCTCTCTTCTCCTTGCTCTCTTTCGCCACTGCGCTAATGGCCTCGAAGCCATAGAACTTCTGCAGGTTCATTAACAAGAACTTGCCCTCATCCACACTGATGCCTCTATTCTCCTGCACTCTCCCTTCTAGCAGCACCAAGCCTTTGCTGTCCAGTAGATCTAGATGATGCGTGATCGTGGTATGGGGCTGAGCGTATTCCCCCCGCATCTTGAACTCGGCAAGGTGTGTAAAGAGTACTGTCGCGGTGGTCTCGGTGGGAAATGTCCATTGTAGAAAGTGTATTTCCGCGCCTTGCTCAGGCCGTGGGAGGGGAAGGATGAATTGTGGGTGTTTCTTTGCCGTCTGAAAGATACGCTTAAAAGTGTCGGCTTGCATGGCAGCGCATAGCGACTGTGGGTCGCGAACATGCCGTAGCCGCCAGATGGTCTCGATCTCCTTGTGAGGTAGTTGTGCCGTCTTTTCCACATCGATGAAGGAGGCGAGCGTCTTAACGGGACTTTCGCTCTTGGTAACTTTCTGGATAGCGGGATCGACGAGCGGTTGAGGGGGCGGCGGGGGTTGGTAGGGGATGCTCGCGCTGGCATTCTGAGGGGTGGGCGGTGGTTGGTGTTGTTCGGTCAGAGGAGCATTGAGGCCCGGTACGAGGCTCTCCTTGCGCAGCTGCGAGATGCGCTCCTGGTAGACTTGCTTCAGCTCCTCCACGTCGTCGACGCCCTTCTCGCGCGCCTTCTGCCGCAGCTTGTCGCGGTATCGTTCCTGGATCTTGTCGTTGAGCGGCGGGTGCAGCGCGAAGAAGCGGACATCGTGCACTTGAGCCCAGCGGCGTTGGCTGCGCTGGAGGGACGACGGGTGACAGCGCGAGGCTGCTCGGCGGAACAGGAGGGAAGAGGAGGAGTTCATGGTGGATAGAGCAGGCTTCACTCCCAACAACTTGTCCTACCTCCTACGCCTCATGCATCCATCGGCTCCAGGAATACCATGCGAAGCCGCATGTGGAGATGGCTTAGCCTGCGCGCTTGTGAGGTCCCGTCGTTCTGTTGCCGTCTCACGTGCACTCGAAGATACAGTACCTCCTACCTCCGTACCTCCTAGATAGAACGACGCTTGCATTGCCGAGGGCCCGAGGCCAGCGTGCGGCGCTGACTCGCACTCGTTCTGAGGTTCTACGCACTCCTGACTAAGCATTCAAAACGCATCCCAAGACGGAACGAGTGCATAGTTTAAATTACGAGTGCAGGTTATGTTTTTTCTTCTTCCTTTGTATCTACTTCTATCGAGCTATCTAAAAACTATTATTTACTCTATACTTACCGACTCTGTATTATAGTTCTCTACTATTTACTATCTCGACAATAGTAAATACTAGATACTATTACTATACCGTTACAATACCGTTATAATACCGGATCGTTACTATACTGTTACTATACTGTTACTATACTGTTACTATACTATTACTATACTATTATAGACTTTTTGTACCCTAGTACTAGTTCTAGTATATATATTTATATATTTTGTTTACTTATATTCTAGGAGTTTGTACTAGACGATCTAAATATATATCTCTATATACTCTTTATATTAACTAGAAAGTACTCTTATATACTACTACTATCTTAGACTTATATATATATTATTACT